GGTTGTGGCTGCAGAGTATGAGTGGTGCACCGATTTACCCGTATGGTTCGTGTATGGACACAGTGTTTAAAGTCAGGCCACCCCTGAGCTTTGAGATTTGTTTTTGTTTTTTGTTTTGTTTTGTTTTTCATTTTTGGTACTGGGGATTGAACTCGGGTGCTTGCGCTTGCAAGGCAGGCCACCGAACTGCTGAGCTGCATCCCCAGCCCTGGGGTTTGTTTTTTGTTCACAGCAGCTAGATATCCCCTCCAAGAATAAGATTATAAGTGAATATCAACAGTTCAAAAGCAAAAATCAGTAGCCACACACAATTTGTCATGCACGCACTTGGAAACAAATCAAATGGGTTTAGGCAGAAAATGATACAAAATAGGGCTAGAAAAGGTATATTTATTCTTTGTTTTGCTAAAACATGGCATTATACCAGTAGATTTTAGGTGTTGAAGACAAAAATGATACATGAGAGGGAAACTGTCTTCCTGTAAATCGAAACTGTAATGACAGGGTAAAGCCTAAACACAGAGAGGTACTCGAGCTTGCTGGAGTTAAGATGCCTGCAAGAATATTCATGCTTGAGGGAAGAATCACTCTGAGCTCCCTTCTATTTTGCTATTTTACTACTTTGAAAAGGCTATGCTTCCATGCAAAAATATATACAGACAATGTACACTAACAGAATTACCTTTTCTGTCTTTAGAATTCTGATAATTGCAAATGTGTGAAGAAGAACAGTATGGTTATACACTTTTCAGACTTTTTAATGTGTGTACTGTTTATCCAGACATGATTTCAGTTTACCAAAAAGGCTGAAATGCGGCATGATGCCAAACACTGAAGTTATAGATGCTCACAAATAGAATCAAGAGGTGGACAAACGTGGTAGGAAATAATTAAACTCCTGCTTGAGCTGCTGAAAGCGAACTGTTTTCTTACTTACTGAAGACATTTTCCAGGATGACATCTAGCATTGGAGCAAAGCAAAATTTAGATAAATGATTTTTCCCATAACTGAAAGCAGGAATTGCTGAAGAGAAGGGAGTTTCAAGAATAGATCCAACGCTGACGGCAAAGGGAGGCTTTTGTAGAAGTGATGGCTTCTAATCCCCTAGTCTGTCTCTGTGCTCTGCATTTCTAGCTATGTAGCTAATCAAGCTTTTCTTTCCTTTCTGTGTATTAATTTCCTCTAGGTATTATTGCACGTGCAACATTGATTGCATCAAGCAATGAACCCTTAAGCAGAAAGGATTATTTTTCTAACTTGGAAAGAGTAAAATTAATTAACACCTTTGGCACGGAATACTATAAAACTTGCCTGGGGTCACCAGAAATGAGCACTCAGGGGTTTTTATTAGCAACTGTTTTGCTTAGTCTGTGAGGTACTCGTATATCTACTTTTGTCAGAACTTTTAAAGAAATAAATCATTTATATCCTAATTAGGGAAAGTTATTATCTCAGCTAGTTATTAAAAAATGGCCACAGGAAATATAGCAACCTGTGAAACAAAACCATATTCACTGAATATATAATAATAGATGTACTTATTTGAAGGAAAAAAAAGATTGGTGGAATCAGGTAATTATAGTAAAAATGTAAATACAGTTATAATTAAAACAAAATCTGAATAACTAGGAAAGATTTTGAAAATAGTATGCCATATTCTAGAGATAATTGAGAAAAATAGCAGCATAAGAAAGAAATTATAAGAAACATGTCTTCAGTTGGTCATAACAGCAAACAGTACATATTTTAACATTTTTAAAATCACATACATCCTATAGATTGAATACTTTTATAAGAATCCATCAAATAAAATTCCTAAGAGGGTATATATTTTAATGCTAGATCCTTCTTTCAGGAATATTGCCAAGGACTTTGCTTTTCCCTCAAAATGCAGCAAGATAAAATCAATTCCAAGTCCCCAGTTCATTATTGATTTTTCTTTGTTCTACATCTAAACTTTCCCATTAAGTACTCTCCAGAATGGCAAGGATTCAGTGAAGAGGACACTAATGTAATATATCTGTTCAAAAAAGCTTTTCTTTAGAATTTTAGCCACGATGCCTTTTGAGAACAAAACTATATTCCTGGAAGCACACTTTCCTCTCCCTTGAGCATGTTTAGCTAAAACAGTTAGACCTGCTATTACACACAACATTAATACAATATTTCAGATGTGGGTTGTCCCCTAGGATGACGTGCTGGTGGCCTGCTCCTCAGTGTGGCAGGCAGGATTAAGAGCAAATGGAGCCTGTGAGCGGTGGGACTGAGTGGAATGTATGTCACCGGGGCGTCACCCTCAGAAGAATTAATGTGGGTCCTGTGTGAGTTAGTTCTCATGGAAGTGGGTGGTTAAAAACGAGCACACCTGGCCTCTGAATCTCTCTCTAGCTTCCTGTCTTCCAATACTCCCCCCCCCCTCTCTCTCTCTCTCTCTCTCTCTCTCTCTCTCTCTCTCTCTCTCTCTCTCTCGTAAATTTCACCATAGTAACACTCACCATGTTGGGGACCAGCCATGGCGGCCAAACTGATGGGGTTGTATCTTGAACTTCCAGCCTCCCAAAGTGTGTGGAGTAATGTCATAGGGTAGAATTCTAAAAACATATGACTGTAGACAATGAATGAGAGGTAAAGACACATTCTTTACTTTAATAGCTCCTGCAGCCTACAATGGTCTGTAGCCCGGTATCTTGTTGCTTTGATCCATATGACTTAGTATTTAAAAACAAGTTAACTTATATAGTAAGAGTTCAATTACACCATAGCTTAGGATTTGGGGGAAATCATAAAATTTCTAAAGGAAGTGAATAATTATTTTGTTTTTAAAAATGTAAATCCCATCGTTATTTATAAAAGTCAAGAAATGCAGGCAAAAACTAAAGTTCCAAAACAGAAACTCTTTAGATACACTTTTCTACAGCATGCAAGGTGCTATAAATTATTTAAAATGTTAAAATGACTCCCATTTACTGGTCAAAAAAGGTATAAATTATATTTTAAGTTAAAAAGCCAGATTTTATATCTATTAAAATGGGCTTTTATGAATACAATGTTTTATAATTTATAAATAAAAACATAAAATGCCATGTTTTAATTAAAGAGAAAGTTCCTCTACCTGTGAGATACATGAGGGAAAAGCATAGAATGGTATACAGCCCACGTATCAACGCCATCTTGAGTTCTATTTTTCAAGGACACCTTTTATTTCTTTGTCTTCCATTTCTGATAAAAAACAAAAATAGTACTGAAAATTTGATATTTTAGACTTTAAATTTAGGTGACAATTATCGGTATATTCTTTCCCATCTTCTGCCTAAGATTCAAATGCCTTCTGCGATATTCCTGTCATAGGGTAACTCAGCTACGGGTCTCGTGAGGGGCAAACTTGTGGAGCTTTCGGGGGCACTAACAGCCCCCTGAGGGACTGCTGTCCCTCAGCATGGCACCACTGTCAATTGAATGCTTCTAGGCAAAGGGACCTCATGCAACCTCTAGGCAGGCTGAAGAGAAAACTCCACTCCTGGGAAACAGCTTGTTTATGCTTATTTGACCTCTCCCTTTGTATGCTCCTTGTCTCCTGTCGGTTGCCCTTTTCAAGCTTATTCTTTCTCTCAGAAAGTTGACCTCTCGATACGAACTGGCTTACACTCCAATACATAGCTGTGTAATCTCTTGGCAGAGGGTAGTACTGGAGGCTTCAGAGAGCAGAGAGATCAACCCAGCCTTTGCCGCTTCAGTAAACGACAAAGTAGCAACAAGGTACCTGGTGGCCTCTCTTGAAAGTTCTTCATTTTTGCACACATTTCACAAAGCTGAGGGATGGAGAGGCGGCAACAGCACTTACACGAAGGAAAGTTAAAACGTGCGCACTTCCTCCTGGTCCAATAGCGTGGCATTCTTCCTCTGCTCCTTCTTGTGTCGCCTCCTTAATGTCTGGCAGTGGCCTGATGTGCTTTGATGGATCTTCAGTCAAAGTAGAATGGAAAGACAAATTAAGCATAGGAAAGTTGAAAGCAATACCTGGAGAAATTTATTTAATGATCCCTTCTGTAACCCACAACTGACTACGTATTTTAAATATTTTCACTAGTAAATTTTCAGCTATTGAAACACATAAAGGCTAACGGGTTTCTTTGAGTCAGACTTTGTACTTAGTAATACTCAGTAATATTTCTCATTTCTACCTGCATGCTGCTGTTCAGACATGCATGCCTACAGTCCTGCATGCCTAGATCCAAATCACAGACTCTCTTAACAGATCTATCAGAAATAGGACACATATTTTTTTTTTTTTTTTAAGCAATGTAGGCCGGGGATTTAGCTCAGTGGTTCGGTGGCCTGCCTTGCAAGCGCAAGCACCCAAGTTCAATCTCCAGTACCAAAACAAAACAAAACAAAACAAAAAAAAGCAATGTAACAGTGAAAAGTATCCACATTGAAAAACAAATAGCCCAAAATGATACCGGTTTCTTGAAATACACACAGAATACTAATGAATACGTGGATAAACTATTCCACGTGCTTTGGATATAAATAGATGTTATTATATTGTCATTAGTAAGTTATCCTAGAAATTGATTTTTTAAAATGCTCCCCACTTTCTGCAAGGGCTCAAAGGGGGATCTTTTGGTTAAGGTGGGCATTTTAAATACTTGGTGAATTTAGTCTGAACTCTGAATGTAGTTTCAAGTTGTGCTCTGAATCGTTCTAGCTAAAGAACCTCTTATGATGCAATAATGGATTCCTATGTATCAGAAAATCTGGAGTGAGAAATAATTTAGACCCTGTGGGAAATATTAACTGAAGTACATTATAAAAGTAGACAATAACTCAAAATGTTGTTTTCTAGGATGCTAGAACCTCCTTGGAGGCCCTATTTATTTGGGCTTTCAAAATAGCTCAGTGCAGGACAGAGCACGAAATGTATTTGACCCCTGTGTTCCCAGGAGCAGCACATGGAATCGGCCATCAGTCACAGCCTTCTGCCCCTGGGCCCAGGCCTGTGTGCAAAGCCTGCGAGGGGAGATGCTTGTAGCGTTGTACAGAGTGAAATGCTCTCACTAAAGCAGGAGGAGGACAGCTCTCCACAGGTCGGTGTTAACCTTGCTCCTCCCTGGTCACCCAAAGACATCGTGGCTCAGACTCTTGATGTACAAAGACGGAACTGGTGTCAGTCACATGTGGATCTCAAAGCAGAGCAATGTGGCAGAACCAACCCTGATTCAGCAACTCAGCCTTTACAAACGTAGTGAAAGGCAGTTTCCAGTCCCCAAATCAGGTGGAACCGTGCACGGATAGAACACAGATAAGAGAGGAAACACCGAAAGACGGAGATATACAGGAGGCCTGTTCCTACGTGCAGCAATGTCTCCTCATATTTCTTTTAAGCTTTGTTTCTTTAGTGGTTTAATCTGTTCAGGGTTTTTAAAATTACTACACTCATTATTTCTAAAAGGGCTGTATTTTTCTCTTCTCAAAACTAGCTGATCAATTTTGGTTTGTTTTTGTTGTCATTTGCTCTCTCGTCCCACTTTCATTTCACATTTTTAATTCATTTCCGGTTAACACAATTATTTTATACTCTGTGCCCGATAGTTCTAATATCTGAAGTTTCTGCGGATCCCCCAGCTCTGTGCTACCGCTTCTGGTTCTCATTTTCAGTGACTTATCTTGTGCCTTTGGATTCTAAGTGAACTACTTTCCTTTCAACCTTGTTTATGCGAATTTACTGAGATGCGGGCAGACGGCGACGTCCTCGGGGACCTTGTGCTTTCTTCAGGTGGCCTCTGGAGGCACTTCTGATCTGGATCCACTTTCAGTTAATTAAATGATTAGCTTGCTTGGTGGATATAATCTACTCTGCTTGTGTGAACTGAAAACCCAACCCGTGAAAGGCACCCCATGCTCCGAATTCTCAATACAGATCTCTTCAACACAGCTCAAAGCCACAGCAGGCTGTCTCTGCCTGACAGGTTTGGTTTGTGCTACTAGGACGGTGCGGCAGCTGGCACCAATGAAGAGCTTGAACTTAGAGTCCTTTTTCTTCTGTCTTTTTAATGCATGCAGTCACCAAAAGAAAAGTCTGAGGGGAGGGGGCATTGAATTTATCGTCCAGGATTCTTACTGTCACATCATGTTTTTTTTTTTTTCATTTATGAATTTTCTTCATTTTTTTTTTTAATCCATCTCAGCTCAGCAATTTAACAAAATCGTTTTAATAAGATGGCAGTTCAGGGTGCCTATTCCACCAGACCGCCAGACGTGGAAGGTTTTACTGCCTTAAAAAGGTTAATGTTCTCATGTGTTTCCCCGTGAGTTTCTTCAGGGTGGCATCAACTCTGGCTTTGGATGTGCAGGACGCATTAGTCTCTCGCTGTTGCTCCCACTCGGGCCCTGACCTTGGTCACGCTGGCGTCTCCTGGTTCTTCCCTTTTGTGGTGCTCATTCCCAACGAAGGCTTTGGAAGGCCACTCCTTCTTCACCTCTCTTTCAGTTTTCTTTCAAAGGGCTCCTCTGAAGAAGGCTTGCTAATGCGCAGGGTCCAATCTGCCTAACTGACAGTGAAGTAACACTGAGCCTCATCTCCTTGGCGTGGTCAGGGTGACTGATGCAGGGGTCTGAAATCAGGCCACCCGGAGAGAAAGCCAGGTCTCGTTCATGAAGTGGTCCCCGTTCCTGCATCAGTGTCAGCCATCCGTAGTTCTTTGTGAAATGAATGAATAATTGAAAGCATTATACAGAAATGCTAAAGGATGAAGACTTAGCCTGTAACTTCTTGCTTACCTCTTACCTTCAATGCAAGACAAATACGGCAATTAAGAGCGGTGTGGACGGTCAGTAGTAAACGGTGCAGCTTTGATAAGATGGGCAGACGGAGGCGACAGGAAGTCAGCCAGGAGGTCATGGCTCCTTTCAGGCCTGCCAGTTGCTTCACTTACGCCAATGAGGGTTTAAACTGGAGACCGACACTTACTTTAAACAATTTATGTCATTTCAGCTTTTCATCCCCTCAGACTTTTTTAAAGTAAGACCTTACATGCTTAACATATCTAATTATTCATAATTCAACTTTAACATTCCAATGGGGCATTAAAACACACATTTTCTCCCCTCTCTGACTAGAGTCACTTTTGGTGTGGAAAATCTTTACAACAATCTCAACCAACAGATTCCCATTTTGCCCAGTAACAAAATAAAATTTAAAGGAAAGAAAATCCAATAAAATAAAATAATGCTGTCTAAAAGTATGCAGGTTCTTTTAATGGAATTCTCATTATGATATAGCAATGAGAAACTCCTCTGAAAAATATTGGAAGTAAATTTGTGGTGAAACTTTGAAGCTATAACTGAATATTAAATAACAAATTTAAAATTTACTTAACTTGGCATATTTTATAATTATAGTTAACTCTATATCTCTAAATGATAAAAGACTCCCTTTCTATTTTTTATGAAGAATAAAAATAAGAACAAAGGCCAAGAAAACCTCCGAACCAAAAATATATAGGGTTGCATTAAAGATAGAATTTCAATCTAATTAGAAATTAATTTGTAATCTTTTGTGGTGTTTTAATATTAAAGAAATACTAAAATTTTCTTTGCAAAAAATACTTAAAAATAAACAGGACCATTTCTATGTCTGAAAAGAAATACACCATTTTCTATTAGCCATGGATCCAGAATATGGACGATGGGTAATGATAAAGAATGGGGTTTCGAGTGCCACGGCCCAAACCTCACTGCACAGATTGGAAAATTGGTTGGCCTCCTTATTTTGCTACAGAAAAGGTAGAAGATTAAACAAATCAAATAGGGGAGATGTAAGTAAGAAAGTAACTAGCAGTTTTTGTGATCCATTTCAGTTTGTAAACCATTCATGCAACAAGTTGAGTAATATAATAACAGTCACTTGAGATGGCTCCAGAAAGACCCCAATCCACATTTTAAAAATGAGACATCTCATGTAGCAATTTCCCTTTGACCAAGATTAAAATGCTTATTAACAGATTCACAACTGGAGGTCTGGCCTTCTTGCTACAATTGTTTTTTCTTTATATTGAGTTTCTGAAGCTTCACTGAGAATATGAATTGCTCCAGCACAGCCTGGGGAAAGGTAGCTCTATAGTTGATATATAGACAGTGTGGCACAATATAAAAGTACAAAGTTAACTAAGAGCAGGCATGATTGACATAAACCAATGTGAAGGAAGGGATCAACTACTTACAATGTTTGTTCAGACCTCAATGGGAAGATTGTGCTGAATTCTGGAGCCTCTGCTTTAGAAAAGTCGCAGATTTAGAGCAACTGTGAGAAAGCAGGCCTGCCCGGTTCCAGCGCAGGGGTCCCATTTCCCATCCTTGAGAGTAGAATGAAGAGCGAAACACACCTATCACAAGCGGTGCAGGCAGCGTCGGGTTTCCATGGGCCACCCACTTCGGTGTCTCACACCTAGCGATCACACAACTGTGTGTGTTTCTTCTATTTCCCCACTCCATGCAGGGTTTTGACTTCCCAGGGTACTGATACAAATAAAGATTTTCTTCAAAAGGAGTAGCTAGGTGGTAAAGACACAGGCTCTGTCGTTTGAGGTGGTTAAATCCCCTGGATAAGTCTGATCCAAAAAAGACAAAGCATTACCACGTGATCTGACTGTCTGAAACTTGAAGTCACTGTGTGGCTTTGAGGCACCTAACAGCCACCAGGGCTACAGATGAGTCCAGATTTGCTTCCCATGCAATGTGACCTCTCAGGGACCCTGCAGTTAACCCCTGGGAACCAGAGGTTCACGCGACCCTCAGGCAAGGTCATCTCACTCTAACTACTTCAGCTCATCTTTCCCTCTTTCACGTACCATCTTCCTGTGGTTCGCCCAAGGGTACCATCTTCTCGGAAGCCTTTCTGAACCTCCCTGAGGAGCTGAGTGCCCCCTGCTAGGCTCCGGCTGTTCTTTCCCCAGGCTCACACTCCCTCCTCCATATTCTCCATGAGACCTTGAGGGAAGAGATCTTGTCTTCTTCATTGTTAAGCTTTTTGTCCTTAGTGCCGTCCCTGGTTCACAGAAGTTGTTCCATTAAGGTGTTTGTTCTGTGATACTGACACTTTGGTTTCAATATTTGAACACCCAGGAAGTAGGATGAAAGTGGGTTATCCTAGGCGTCTGTGGATTAGACCAGAAAAGGGCACTGAAACACATGGGGATATAGATTTCTGTCTAATAAGAGTAAATCAAAGCCCTACCTGCTGCAGACATCCCTGCCCAGTACAGCGGACTATGAGTGGCACCTGCTTCTTCCTTCCCTAATTCGACTATATTGTTTTATATCAGCAGTCGGGCTGAAGCCCTGTGTGCTCAAATGGTGAACTGAATGAGTATCCCCTCCCCCAGTAGCTGCCACTGAGGCTTAAGCCCTGGTCTGTGAAGTGGCAGGGCTCTGCTGAGTTACATGCAGCTAAAATCCTTTCCCCTGAATGATGGCTTCTCATGGACCCAATGGGTTGCTTGCTAATTGTACCCCACCCCAGTACCTGTTTGTTCTATCTAAGCAAGATAAGCAGTGCTTTCTCCCTTCCAGCCCTGCCTGGTACCATCATGCCAGCTATGAGGCAGTATTTCACTAGACACCTTCCAAGCATAACCTTTCTCCCTATTCTTTCACAGGGTTGTATTCAATAAATACTGGATGCACTTGGGGGCCTTTGTCCTAGCTGCACAGAGCAGCACTGATCAGCCCCCCAAGACCCAACTTTTTCTCGAAGTCTTATTTCCTGTCTTTATTCTTTATTCTTTATTCATTAATTAGCTTTGTTTTATCAGGACTCACAGGAGACCAGGGCCCACTGCAGGGGTCTCTGGTGACATCCTCTTTCCCTTGCCCTACATCTACCAAAGATTAAAGATACCTCCCGGGTGGAAGCATGAGGAAGACAAACGGGACACGGGGAGACAGTCTTTAGCATGGGCCGAGGGCCAAATATTTTTGTGAAAAACGAATTGGATCCAAGGGTCTTTGTTTTTCCTTCAGTTCTGAGGGGAGAGATTCTCTAAATGTCTACTCCCCCCATGCAAAAAAGCTGCTGGACCAGAAATACCCCATGCAGCTTTGGAGGAAAGGAGATTCCTCCTGGGGCTTGGAGTAAGAAATGATTCCACTTCTATAAACTAGATCTTAAGGGAAAAGAAAAGAAAAGAAGTCAATCTGGTTGTTAGTCAGGCTCTGACAACTCTTGCTGAGGTTTTCAGTTTCCTAAAGCACCACAGTATTATATACAGGCCACCACCATGTAGATGGCCCCTAGGTAAATGGCCAGTAGAATCCACTTGTCTTCTTTGATTGAGGTGACAACATTATGCTCTTTGAAGGCTCCAGGAAGCTCAGCATCCTAAATTAAAATTCTTGAAAAAATAAATTCATTCAGCAACATTACGGAAAAAAATTTTTTAGAATGCAAGTTTCTCCCCTTTTGGCTTGCCATGAAGTCAACTCCACTTCTCTATTTTTTTTTTTCTTTTGCCTAAATAGTTAAGAAATTTCTCCCTATTTCTCAGAGTCTATCTTCAGTCTAGTTACCCAATCATATTTACTTAGCTTGGTGTTCTGTTAAAATGAATCTTTCTTTCCTCTTCTTAAGTGTAGATTGATTTTCTATATCTATTTAAAATTTCACCAAACTGAAGATACAGGGGACACAGCCTATTTTTTTTTCTAATAATCTAGTATAAACATTCTAACAAGAAGTCGCTCAGATGCAAAAATGGACAGACTTTGATTTTTGTGCTACACAATACCCTAAGTTTCTGAAATACAGAAAAATGGTATATAAATGAGATTTGGAAGCCAAAGTTTTCAAAGACTAAGAAGTGCATATGTAAGATCAAAAGATAACTTGTAATTGCAACCACAAATATTCACATATGATACTTTGCAGTGCAATTCCTTTTTTTTTTTTTTTTTTCAGTACTTGGAGATTGAATCCAGAATTTTTGTATTGAACGACATCTCTAGCCTTTTTTTTTTTTTTAAGAAAGCAACTCACTAGTTCCCTAACTTGCCTGTGCTAGGCTCAAATTTGAGATACACCTCCCTCAGTATTCCAGAGTGCTGGGGTCACAGATATGCACTGCCATGCCTAGCTTTGCAGGACAATTCTTTTCAGAAGTGCTCCTGTGCCCTTTTCTGTGATGCAATCTCCACAAAAGCCATGTCAGGGAGGGTTCGGCACTTGGACACTGTTTGTTGGAGGTACAATACTCACAAGATAGCAGCTGTGCTCCTGCGGAGACCTTCTTGAATTTCTACCCCTGTTCCTCGTGTGTAATAATAATACTAGTACTTGGATTATATTAACCCATTTTGTCCTGCTATAATGGAATATATGAGACTATGTGTTTGTGTGAATATATCATGAACAGAAATGTATTGTCTCACAGTTCTAAAGGCTGGTGGAGCCTGAGATCAAGGGATCCTCTCATGAGGACCTTACTGTGTCATCTTATGACAGAAAGGCAAAGAGAAGTAGGAAGACTGGGGCAGGGGGAGGGGGAGAGGAAGAGGGAGATAACTCATCTTCTTATGAGAACTCTACCCCTGAGAGAAGAACTCACTCTAACAGTAGGGTCATTAATCCATTCAGGAGCCACTGGAGCTGCTGAGTCCTTGGGGCCTAATCACCTCCTTAAGATCTCACCTTTTAAGACTGTCACAGTGATAATTAGGTTTCTCCCACACATGCTTTTTGAGGACACATTCCAGCCACAGCAGGGTTTTGTTTTGTCAGGATTAATGAAATTAATCCTCATTAAATGCACAGATACTCCAAGTGTTCATAGAATGCCTTTAAAAACTAGTTTAAAATTTGCTACTGAGACAAATATCCTTCAAGAGGTTGAATTCACTACCTTCCAGAAAAACAATAAAACTCAAACCTTGGTGGCTGTTGAAGCATAAACAATTGGTGATAAGAAGTCTATGACATTATAGAATGGATCAGACAAAATAATCCTTCTAACAATAGAGGAAAAAATCAGTTCATTGGATACATATGCATTCATTTATAACTGGTACTGTGGATCTTTAACCAGGACAAAGGATGTATACAAAGGCCAGTGTTTTCCAGAAGTATTGGTACAATGTAAAGTCAATGTTTCCTTTGGCAACTGTGGAACAAAATAAGCACACAAGACCCCATTTAGGTATTCATTTTAACATGTGTTTCCAGACATGATGGCCCAAATGAGCTGTCCTTGCACATTCCTCAGTATTTTTAGTTTCCTTGAATAAAAGCAATTCTATATTGTATAAACCAAGGGCTGAATGAACAGTCAAATCCTAAGTGATATAAGCAAATGAGACCCAAACTAGGGCCTAAAGAAGCAATTTTCTCATCTATTTGTGGTTAAGTAATTAAGCATAGTCCACTGCAGTGCCTCATAGTTATAAATTTCCAAGTGTTTGTGTACAGGGGCTGAATAGTGAAGATTGTGCTGTGATAATGACCATGCAAATCAATCATAGCAAGGTCAATAGTGCAGGTCACAGGTGAGAGATAATATTTCCCTCTCACACACATACACATTAGAAAACAAATAAAAATAGTCAGTCGTGAGAAAAGAGCATTTGTTAGATCCTGCTTTCCTCAACAACTGGATTTAGATGAGAAACATTCTCCTGAACAATTCTGTTCTTCTCAGTGAACATTCCTGTTAAAATGAATTTGCCTTAGACTGTCAGATAATGCCAAGAGACTTGTGCCCCCTGGCTATAATGAATCATTCTGGATTTCTCAGTAATGCCAATAATTCTGTTCTGCTCTCATTTTCTCTTGATTTAGTGAAAGTTTTAAAATCTAATTTCAATTTGAGAAATCTAGCAGTTTCCCACCCTCCAAATCAATTTTCATCAGATTTTCCTTCACTCCTACCTCAGCTCTATCTCTTACAAAATCCCACTTCTTTTTTGTTTGGATGGCTGAAAATTTATCCTAATTATGCTATCTGTGTTGAAGTCAATGACCTGTCTAAAAGAATTAAGAGACTTATTTTGCAAAGTGAGAAATGTGACTAAGACAGAGAATAATTGAAATCCAGAGTGAAATGACAATTCTGGAACTGGATATGAGCAATAATTTTTTTTAAGATTTGGTAATGTATCACCTGACTATGGCTTATTGTAAACATCAGAGATGAGCTTCAGCTTTTGCAGATTAAATTAAATTCTTGGTGGAAATAACATGCAAAAAAAAAAAAAGAACAGCTTTAAACAATGACAAATGAAAGATATATTTAATATAAATCTATACAGAAATAAAATTAGATTTGGTCTGATAAAAACTATATAGGAACTTAAAAATGACTTGCGACTTAGATGTACTGATTAATGTATTTAAAAAATATTAACTGATAATTACAAGGGATAATTTCCTAATCTGAGCAGCTCTTCATTCTTCAGTTTTGAATATTTTATTTATTTTTTAATTTTTTTTTGGTACTGGGGATCAAACTTAGGTCCTTGCGCTTGCAAGGCAGGCAGCAGAACCACTGAGCCAAATCCCCAGCCCTGTTTTGAATATTTTAAATCTGAGCCATATTACACTGTGCTTTTTCTGAGTCCTATTTAAATGTGTCTCAGGTAAAGACTCAAAACTCAGCTTCAAAAATCAATATTTAAAAATAAGCTCTTCTCATCTTCATTTAAAAAAAAATTTTGGACAGGTAAATTAATTTATATTCAAATAAAATTACAGAACTATCTAAAGAATTTGGAAATGAAAGATTTGTTTATTATATCATAAGAAAATTTCAAGTTTAAAAGAAAATAATACCTGTAAAAACATTCAAAAAGAAAAATAACTTAAAAATCTACTTTTCAATAAATTTAACAGAAAAATATCTCTGCCATAGCTTATAGCTCTTGTTTAATTATATAGAAAAACAGCAAATGTTATAAACAAATTTATAGTAGAAACTTGATAAGTTTGAAATAATAGCTTTGTGATAGGTAAATAAATGCAGATTCCATTTTTTACTTTTAACCTAAATACTATTTAAGGACATAAATATCTTAATTTATTTTGGCTTAAAAAGAATATTTTTTCATGTGAAAATTCAACAATAATAAGGTATGGAATCGCAATGCGTTGCTTCTCAGATCCAAATTTCTCTTCAGTATAATTGAAGAAACCCCCTTACACATCTCTTCTTTCCCATGAGCATGGTGTTATTCAAAAGGGTGTCAAGGGACATGCTGGGAAGAAGGGGCTCTCCTGCTCTTCCTGTCTGCTGCCTGAAGGGCCATCCCTGCATGAGAACATCAAGGGCAGCTATGCCCTAGAATGTGGTCCCAGGATGCATGGATTTGGTGGCCCTGAAGTTTCACTTGACAATAACCTTTCTGCAGTCTTCTTAGCCCAGAAACCACCGTGCCAAAGCCTTCCCACCCAAGTCATGGCCCAATCCCACTTCCTCCAACACACTGACACTCTAAATCTTGCCCATGTTTTCGGTCAAGCCTACTCACCTTATGCCTACTCTTATGGTTTATATCTAGTTGTCCCATAAAGCCTCATGTGCTCAGAGGCAGGGCTGTGGAGGTGACTGGATCGTGAGGGTATGATGCTTATCAGAGGGTTGGTCCACTGACGTGTTTATAGCTAAATGCGACGTTGGACATGAAGCTTGGCAAGAGGCGGTTCCCAGGGGGGTGTGGCCTAGAAAGATATTTCCCTCCCTCTTGCTTTAACCATCTTTCTGATTCCTGGCCCGTACCATGAGCTATTTTTCCTCCGCCATACCTTGCCAGCCTACCTTGGAGCCAGCTGTCTGTGGACTGAAAAATCTACATATTGTGAGCCAAAATAAAACTGTCCTCCTTTATGTGACAGGTGCTTGGTATTTTGTCCCCTCAGAGGGTTCCCACTGTGCCTTTGCTTTCTCTGTAGAACATATACATCTTGCCTGTGTTCTAAGAAATGACACCTGGCTCCCCGCTGACACCTGGGTCACTTCCTGATTCATCAGTGACTGCTTACAAATTCCAGCTTCCAACAAGCACAAGCCCGTCTGCTGTGATATTGTTGGAAGCCATATATTTCCCAGCAAGCTTTGAATGTCCTTGAAGTTCATCCTCATCTCTAAGGTATCATATTGAGATTTTTAAAAAGATTAATCTTTCATCTTATAATCACTTTTATCATGATTAGATAGCTTCCTATGTTAGACTTCCTGTTTAACTTTCTATTTCCTGAATGGACCTACACTGAAACATTAGACTAGATAATTGTAATCTGCATACCTAGGTCAAGGCTAAAAATAAATTTGTATATTACGTGTCAAGGCTTTCTGATCATGTTCATGGAGTCCCTTCTTCTCAAAACCTTTATGTTGAAATGAGTCTACTTCTGTTATCAAAAGAAGAGCAATCCAGTCTAGACTTTTGTATTAATGATGTATGAAAGGAGTTTCCAATATTTTTAATAATTGCTGTTTAATTTTGTTTTAATTAAAAATAATTATCTCTGAAATTCCACCTACGGGCTAAGATATTATGTTTGGTATCAGATGTGTTCTCCTATCATTGAACAACTAGGAAATTAAATGTATTAAAATATATTATTTATTAAAAATATATTAAACCTTTTTTCAGGTTCGGAAAACATGCCACACTGCAGTGAACTATTTGAGAGAAGAGAAACCATGATCTAAGATGAATAAGAACTCTGATTTTATGTTTTGAGGCCTTTTTATATCTTTTGTAAGCAGAGCAACTGAGATAAAGCTCAGAAAAATTTACAATGAGACACAAAATCACTAGGGAAAGATGTAGGCTGAGAGAAAATCTACCTCTGGGTGAGTGATTCTATCAAGATTTCTAAAATTCATGTATTCAGAATGTAACTGTATTAGGACAAGCACACAGTGACTTGGGACCTTTAAGGTGAACAGGCCCTATTGCTCCTACAGGGCCAGTAGATGTTCAATTTCTAAGAAGCCAAGTTGGAGACATGTAATTGAGTATTTCTAATTTTCCATCCAAGAGAGTGACACTTTAATAGAAGGGCTATAAACAAAAAACCTTTTAGGCCCACTCTATCAAATTTCATAAATAATCAAGATAATACAAAAGTAGTTTCATGTCTTTCCAAAATGAATTTCCCTATATCCAAAGGGAGACATGAAAACCAATATACCAGTCAATGTAATAGTACAATATTAAAAATATTATATATCTTGCAAAAAATCAGTAGACATTTAAAGAAATAGGAAAATATGATCATTAGCTATAAAATAATCACAGTGTATGTGTGTGTGTGTTTGTGTGTGTGCATGTGTGTGTGTGTATGTGTGTGTATAGGTTACTATTGAAAGATGGGGGTCTGGGGTTGGGGATTTAGCTCAGTGGCACTGTGCCTGCCTCACAAGGATGAGGTTCTGAGTTCAATCCCTAATACTGCCCCCAAAAAAAGCAAAAAAAAGAAGAGAGTCTGGGCAGAAAAGGCAGGTCACTGAGGGCGTGACCTGGAGAGTATATCTCCCTCCCCAACTCCTCTGCTCTCTCTCTGCTTCTCGGCAGCCGTGATGGGAGCAGCTCTTCCTCCTTTCTGCCCCTCTGTCTTACTGCTTACCTTGGAGCCACTCAACTATGGACTGTAACCATGAGGCAAAATAAACCTGTCTTCCTTTGAGTTGTAGGTGACAGATTTGTTCCAGCAAAGAGGAAAGTGACTATGACCTTCCTCTATCTACTACTACTAGTAGTTTATCAGTTGCTCGAGGATGCTGAAGTCTTCAAACACAGATGCTGATTTGGTATTTTACCCTTCAGTTTGTTCAGTTTCTGTTGAACATACTGTAAAGCTCTGTTGTTTGGTGCATCAATGTTTAGATTTCCATGCTTTCTTGGCTATTTAACCTGTTTATCATTACACAGGGTCCATCTTTGTTGTATGACTTTTAGTGCTCTGAAATGTGTTTAACCTGTTTAATGTAGTCACTTCTTTGCTTGTATGTAATATCTGAATATATTTCCTCTATCCCTTTACTTTCAATTTACCTTTTTCATTATATTTAACTGAGTTCCTTATTTTTCTTTCCATTGAGTGTATTGGTTCATTTTAGGTATACAGTACAGTTACACTCATTATTAGGTAACTGAGTTCCTTCTTGATCGCACACAGTTAGATCATGTAATCTGCTCTGTCTTCTAATTTGGATATTTAGGCTATTTTCATATAATATAATTTTTACATGTTAGGATTTAACCCTGCAATTCTTTTAGACTTGGTTTTAAGGTTTCATTCTGTTTTTATTCCTTCACTTTCTATTTTTGCTTTCTTTAGGTTCCTTGAATATTCTATTTTTAGAATTTCATTTTGTTGGTCTATAAATTTAAGCTATTTTTATTTATGCCCTTTTAGTCACTTTCTGAAGTATGAAATAATTTATCCAAGTTAACTGGTATCATAATTACACAAGTTCAAGTAAAGTTAGAAATGCTTTAACTTTTAAAATTTGTCTGTATTTCTTTTCTTCCTACCATTTATATTGTAATTGACTTAAACATTTTTCCTACATATATTCAAAACCACCAGTGTTTTAATTTTTGCTTCAAGTGTCAAATATGTTTTAGAAGACTCAAGGAAAAGAACATATTTGTCTATATATTTTCTTTTTCTATCATCTCCCCAGTATTCCAAAATTGGTTCTAATTTTCTCTGTTATGTGATCTTAATTTAATGATTCCTTTATGGTAACTCCGTTGGTTACAAATTCTCTCTTTTGGTCCCGATCACTCTTGATTTCCCCCTTTATTTCTGAAGCAGTATGTCTCCATGGATGTATGATTCTGGGTTTTCTTTCAGCATTGCAGAAGGCTCTGCCATTTCCTTCCGGCTTATGAGATTTCTGTTGAGCAACCATTGTTATTCAAATTGTTTTTCTTCCATAAGTAAGGTTATCTCCTGTCTGCTTTAGAATTATTTGTTCTCTTCATCATTGACTTTCAGAAGTTGGTCTGTGACAGTGACAGTGAAATTTTAGAGCTTTGAGTGACAACAACCAGTGGGCTGTGGCAGGTGCCCCATAGTGAACCACCCCTGGTCTATGGTAGGCATTGGTGTGGGCTTCTCATATTTGTGCTATTTTGAGTTATTGCAAGTTCTTAAATCTGTACACTTATTTCTTTAGCTGAAACCTTAGAAACTTTAGAAAACTTAGAAAAACTTCAGAAACCTTAAAACCATCATTCCTTTAGTTTTCAGTGTGGACCCCTCCTTAGACTCCTTTCGGTATTCCAGTGACATGAAAGTTAGACCTTTGTTACAGTCCCACAAGTCTCTGAAGCTCTGTTTCCTTTTACAGTCTATTTTCTCTCTCTTGATCATTAAGTAATTTGTATTGTCATATCTTAGGTATAACTTATCTTTCCTCTGCCCTCTTCAATCTTCTCATGAGCCCATACAAGAGAATTGAATTTTTAACTTCAATTATTCCTTTTTTCATTTTCAAAATTTCTCATTTGGTCTTCCTTTTGTTTTTACTGAGACGTTGTACTCATTCAATTGTTTTAAACATGTCCTTAATATTTTGAAGGATTTTTGTGGTGGCCTTCTTAATTTTTTTTTTCAGAAAATTCTGACATCTTTACAATGTCAGTGTTAACCTCTGTTGATTGTCTTTTTCTCCAGTTTCCTGGTACTTAGTATGATAAATGACATAAGCTGGAAACCTGGACTTAATAGGTATGATAGGAAGAGACCCTAAGTCTTTTTAAAGCACTTTTAACAGACTTTTCTGATACCATTATGGCAAGGGAAGTACCAATGTTCCCAGGGATTAGGGGTTCTGGCTCCCTTGTAGGCCTCACAATATATCCCTGGCTGAGACAAAGGTCCTGTCTTCCAACTGCCTCCCACATGGTCTCAACTGACATGTGGGAGTGGAATGGTGGCCTCATCATCATTGATGAGTACTGGTCAAAGTCCTGTCTCACCATCTGACCACCTGTGGCATCTCTCCATTGCAGAGAAAAGGGATCAGTTCTCTGTTCATTGTAGTAGACCAAGGACTCTGTGTGATCTCCACTGATCCCAAAATAAGAGTGTTCTCATCTGCTGAACACGCAATACAGGAGCCCTATTCAGGTATCCTGACTCTACTCAGAACTTATTTCAGTACAACGGTGGAAATCTACCTATCCACTCAGCCTTTCTATTGGGTTGCACAGTGGGGGTCCTTCCACTGGTGTTTGGCTGCAGTAGAGTGGTTATTATTACAGGTTTTAGTTCTCTCTTACAGGAAACAAGCTTTTGTTTAGACTTTTTGGGTGTGTGCATATCCGTGAGTCCAAAGATCCCAGGTCTCCCTTCTCTCCATCTTCCAGAGTAATTATGTCTGCTTTGTATATAACATTCATTGTTGCTAGTGATAGCTGGATAAATAGGGATAAATACTGAATAAAAAGGGATACTTGGCTGGATAAATCTCCATCTTTATAGGAGTAGGTCAGCCACAGGATTTTTTCAAAATTAAAAAGGAAAGTCACCACAATGGCCACAGTATCAATTCAGGATCATATTGTGTACACATGATTTCCAACTCCAACATATTTTATCTCTACAATCATGTGAAATTTAATGACTCATTAAAAGCATGTTACTTCATCTGTAGTAGAATGATCGATACTATTACCTGTGCAACAGAATTGCTGTGAAGAGTGAAAGTCTACCCATGAAGCACTTATCAGAGTGCCTGTCATTTGACCGACTTTTAAATAATTATTTTTATTATAGAAAAGGTTGGTAGCAGGCCAACCATTCATTTTCTGCTTTACTGAGGAATCTCTCATAAGATAAAGAAAATAAACTAGCTCGATTTACTTGTAAATAATTGTGATGGTTAATCTTGACCATCACCTTGATAATATTAAGAGATTCCTAGAGAGATAATTGGATTACAATGGCACTAACTTCATGAAAGGGTTAACTAAGTGATAAAGTCACAGTTGAATGAGCTATTAATAGATGAGGCCAGGTTGGAGGAGGTAGCTCATTGAGGAAGCACCTTTCAGAGGTTACCTGGTTCCTGGACCCTTCCTATTTGGCTGTATTAGTCACTTTCCCTGTCACTGGGACACAATCCCTGACACAATTAAGGAGGAAAGGGCATTCCTGGTTGACTGAATCTAAAGATAGAAAAGGCATAGTGAAAGGGCATGACAGAGGTAAGCTGCTCTTCACATGGCACACAGGAAGCAGGAAGAAAGGGAGAACTCAGGGAAGGAGATACGTCCTGCCTACAAAGGCCCACTCCAGTCACACACCTCTTCAAGCCAGGGTCCACCTCCTAACAGCATGATTAACTGCCAAATGGATCCATCCACTGAGGAGTACAGCAGCCCCACTATGCAATTAATTTCCAGAAGTCTTGCCTCCGATTACTTGTGGCTTTTGAGGGACATTCTAGAGCTACACCATAACACTTGCTTTCCCTCTCTTTATGCTTCTGGCTGTCAGGAGGTAAGCAGATTTCCTCCATGTCATTCTGCCATAGTGTTTCCTCATGGGAGCCAGCTGGCCACAGACTGAAACCTCTGAAACTATGAGATAGAAAAGTACTTTTTTTCCTTAAATTGTGTATATCAAGTATATCGTGCCAGCAACAGACAAGTGACATATAGCAATCTAAGAATAGATTTCCTGGAAAACACACTAACAGAATTTACTAGAATAGATAGTAGGACCATCTTTATCTATGAAATA